GCATGGGAAAGGAATCAATGACATCAGCATCATGCACCCCCTCTTGCTTCACATTCAAAAGCCCTGGAGCCTTCGCCAAACATCTCGAAACCTCCCGACCACAGGAACAAGTCCCCAATCCAGACGTCCACACCTGAGCCTTTGGAGACCTACTGCCCTTAAACCCAAACCCACCTCGTCGAGATGCTCTGCTCTAACAGCTCCGCAGACTTCCAGCTCCAAGATGTTTGCCACACCTGGGCCAGCTCTGGGGCTATGGGTCTGAGGATCTAGAGTTTGTCTTACGTGCATACATGTATCCGTATATATATATATACATACATACATACATACATACATACATACAGACAGACAGACAGACAGACAGACAGACAGACAGACAGGCAGACAGACAGACAGACAGACATACATATACTTCTACCTATATCTATATCTATAGCTATATCTATGTCTATATCGATCTATGTGTGTGTGTGTGTGTATATATATATATATATTCGCCTATATAAGCATAGGATTGACGGTTCGGCGCCTGCAGTTCCCTGGCTTTCTGTAATAGCAGAAACAAACCATACATACACTGCAGGTCTCACCGGCTCTTCTGCAGGACTCGATGTACGAGCTTGAGGTTGCAGGGTGTAGAGGCTACCGGGCTTTGGCTTTCTTGAGTTTCGGACTGGATTTGGGGTCCGGGTCTTTATTGCATAGGGCATGCGGATCTTGCCTTGTAACGTTGCTATACTATACACCACATAGCTGTTCCTAGGCGAGCAGCATCGAACCCTTCCTGGTGCAACACTCCGCAGAGCGCAAGGGATGGCTCCCTCAAGAAAACGAAACGTGCTAAACAGGTTGCAAGGCCGTTTCCGAAGCAGCCAATATTGCCAGGATATCCCAAACCCTCAGAGCTTCCGAAAGTTGAAGCCAAGAACCGAGGCTGGCACCCCGCCGAGGATCTTGGAGCTGTCGAGTCAAGCGCCCACTGAGCAGAAGGCTGTGGTGCTTGAGGAGATAGCTTTGGGCTTTGCCGGGTGAGCAGCAAGGCTTCTGCACGAACAAGCTGCCCGCAGGTGCACACGCACGCAGAGCCCTACATCGATCATGCGGCAACAACCTCATTTAACCCGGAAACCTGCTATCAGCTATGAGCCGACTCTGGCGAAACTGTGCAGATTTCGGCATTCAAGTCCCATGATTAGTTCAAGAGGAACGCCATTGAGGCATTGGTAATTGTGAGGTTGCGACTTGGAGGGTGTAGGCTTGGAATTCAGGAGTGTCAAGCGATCCCATCAGTAGCCGGAGTTGCATCTTTGGCATTTCGCATCAAGGGTGCATGTAGCTTTGCTGAGTTGTCCCAGAACTACCCTGCAACAATCCCCACCTTCGGCTCCAGAGGAAGAGCCCGCTGGCACTGGTGGCAAGGCCACCTACCGGGTGATAGAGGTCGAGCTCGAACCTCAGCGACCAGGTAGGCATCTAAAGCACAGGACGGACGGGGAACATCTAGGTGAGTCTTGTTATGGCTCCTGCATGGTGAGCTGTTCCATTAAACATTGTTGAATTTCGCAAACATTCTGTTAGGCGCGGGCCATTACGGGCGAGCAGATTCGCCTAGGGGGGGTGCAGTAGTTGCCTGTAGTCTTCGAGCAGGAATTCTGAACCACGAAACCCTGAGAGCCGAAAGCCAGAAGTTTTTCGTCGCACCCGAGTCATCTGACATGCGATCGGAAATCTGGGCTGCTCGCTCAAGCAACTGAATTACTCAACTCGCCTCAAGGGCAATCCTAAAGGCGGCATTGAGCCCTGAAACGGGGAAGGATGGATACCAGCCCGAGAAGTTCCGGCATTGCTTTGAGAGCTTGGCTGTCTGTCATCAGAACTCTTGGTGCGCAGTTTGTGTCTCTGCATACAGCATGATAATTCCCCAGTGTATACCGGGTGTAGACACGCATCCACTAAGCAAGATCCGAGTTGTCGAGCTCGTCCCCGGCGAAGGAGACGACTGATCGCAGATCCTGGCGCCACAGCATTCGCAGGTCTGCGTGTAACACAGTGGTTCTTGTTGAACTCAACGTTCGTCGTGGTACGTAGCCAGCTGCAGAGAGCAGTAGGTGCTAGGAGTAGTTGCGTGCTTGGGGTTGTTGTCTGGTCGTCGTCGCAGCAGAAGTTCAATAGCAGTCGTCGTAGTGGTGGTAGTAGTCGTCGAAGTCGTAGTCGTGATAGTACTAGTAGCAGTAACAGTAGCAGGGGAGGCGCAGAAGCAGCAGCGGCAGCAATTGCAGTAGTAGCAGCAGCAATCGTCGTCATCGTCGTCGTCGTACGGTAGCCGCAGCATCAGCAGCAGCACCAGCAGCCGTAGTAGTAGTAGTAGTAGTAGTAGTAGTAGTTGTTGTTGTTGTTGTAGTATTAGCAGCAGTAGTAGTAGTAGTAGTAGTAGTAGTAGTAGTCGTGGTAGTCGTAGTCGTGGTCGTGGTCGTGGTCGTAGTCGTAGTCGTAGTCGTAGTCGTCGTCGTCGTAGTAGTAGTAGTAGCAGCAGCAGCAGCAGTAGAAGTAGTAGCCGCAGCAGGAGTAGTGGTATTGGTAGTGGTAGTAGTAGCAGTAGTAGTAGTAGTAGTAGTAGTAGTAGTAGTAGTACTAGCAGCAGCAGCAGCAGTGTCAGTAGTAGCAGCAGCAGGAGTAATGGTAGTAGTAGTAGTAGTAGTAGTAGCAGTAGTAGTAGTAGTAGTAGTTGTTGTTGTAGTAGTGGTAGAGGTAGAGGTAGAGGTAGAGGTAGTGGTAGTGGTAGTGGTAGTGGTAGTGGTAGTTGTCGTCGTCGACGAACCAGTCAGCGGCAGGGTTTGTAGCATCAGACGCAGCCGCAGAAAAATGGGGGGCACCAGCCAACAGCAGGGGCAGCAGCAGCAGTGGCAGCAGCTGCAACAATTTGCTGCCAATTGCCCCCGTCAGTTTCAGCAAGTCGTGAACTTGATTAAGAACCCTGGAAAACCACTGAACCGCCATCCTGCTCTGCTGTGCCAGCGGATTTAAGGAAGGTTTGATTGAGTGCGGCATGGCCGAAGATAAGATGAATGCAAGATCATGATTCAGCACTGCAGCCATTCTCACTCTCGCTTCGTCTCTGAAAATGAAGAGCTGTGTGCGGAGTTCCATTCATCGAGCATGTGGAAGCTCGCAACCCTGTGGGCACCCCCAACGGCACCTAAACAGAAACCATCAGGTTGGGATATCCCATAACCCTTTCTTCAAGCCAATAAACTTCAATAAAGTACAGATGTCCAACCGTGCGTTTTGGTTACGGACCGTTAGGTGCTTTGAACATCGCAAGCTCCCATCCTGAAGCCCTGAAAGCGTATAGCTGCAGAGCGAGCTTACGGGAAGTCGGGATCGCCTCGTATACCTGCAAGGCATGCGAAACTCTGCCTCGCGGAAGGGGGAAAAAACTACCAAGGAGAACACGGTCACCTCGAGGTCCGTCTTCTTAATGTTCTTCTGCACGCGCATGGAGGTGACCATGCCCTTCGGCTTGTGGTACCTGTGAGGCTATGGGGTTTCAGCTGTAGGGACTCGCCTCTCAGAGGATTGGATTTGGGGCTTCGGGGCTTCAGGGCTTGGGATTCGGGACTTGGAGTTTGGAGCAGCCAAGCAGCCAGGGACCAACGACACATCTGAGGCATGACCATCGGAGCTTCACGACTTGAAGGCTGCTCTTAAACGCCCTAAACTTGAAGGGGGCAATGGTATAAAAACATCACTAGCTTCATGTTCTCGCTGGAGGAAAAGGACCTCCGGGTCTGGTGACTGCATGCAGGCAAAACGAATGAAAGCTGCTCTGCCTACCACCAACCGGCCACGCCATCTCAATGAAGCGGCTGCGCAAACTCTGCACCAAACAAGCCCCACACCGCCCGGGACGTGCGCACTTCACGAGCAGAGGCAACCTGTGCTAAAGCATTCCGGTCCCACTTAATTACAGCAGTCAGTACAGCTACTTGCGAGGATTTGCAAAACCACCACATCCAGGCCTGTACTCTCTGCGAGCGAGAACAGGTCTTAAGCCAGCACCTCCCTGCGCAGGGCACGTGATTTGCGGAGCATGTTCGGGTGAGGAGTTCGCCTAAGCTGCATGGTGCGCTGCGCTTGTGCCAGGAGTCTGCGTAACATTATGTCGCAAGGCACGGCATCGCTGCGCTCTGCCGAACTCAGAATCGCTACTGTGGATCATAGTCAACTGTCGACTTCGCAACGATAAGGGTGAAACACTTGAGCTACAGCTAAATGGCACGCGGCATCCTACCGGCCGACCATCTGCATGACGACGTCTGCGTCGACGCTGTAGACAGTTGGGAAAAGGCATGGATCGACTACGTACTGATGCAACTGTGTGAACCCGACTTAGTCGAGATTGGGCTCCTTCTGAACGGTTCTCAGAAGATCCATGTCACGATCCCATAGCACATGTCGCTTAAACAATTCCGTAGCTCATGTACAAAACGCTTTAAAGCTTCTCGAGCAAAGTGCCGATGAAGTGGAAGATCGTTGGCTTAATCTCTCACCAGGTCAGCGATTTGACTGATTTGACTTGCCCTTCGCCTGCGACAAAGCTCGTGCGGGAAATCTGAACCCTAACCGCATGAATGCGTTCGGGCACTCAGTATCTCTGATCCACGGTCATGTCCAAAAACGCAGAAAGGCTTCTACATGTACGGATTTGATTTCAACCCTTGTCACGAACGTTGAGACATATGAGTGTCGCACACCAGCAAAGCCTTCAGCGTGAATTCAGCCCAGAACTGTCGCTGCAATGGGCATGACAGTCGTCCGATGAGAACCAAAAGTTGAAGCACGTATATAGAACATATATATATATATATATGCATATACTTATACTTTATGTGTATATATATATTCAATATATTACACATTTACTTGTGTGTTATATGTATGTATAGATCAGGCGCCCTATAGAAAGCACTACGGCCATCTCTGGGTCATCTCTTTGCCTTGCCCTTGGGCTTGTTCCGGGTTCGTCGGCTGGGTTCCTCCACCTGAGCTCGGAATTATCTAAACCGTAAACCCATGGGGGTGGAGGGTGAAGGACACTTCGCTTCAAAGCTTTGGATTTGTGAGACTTCCTGAGCACAGTCCCACCTCCAACTCAGGGTCATCCATGGACAGCACCGGATTCCCGTCCTCCTTCACTTCCTCACAGCAGCAGGAACTCGAATCCAAGTACAATCGTTGAGGTGCCACAACCTTTATCTAACAAAGACTGCCTGCGACAAAAACTAAAGGAACATACGCACATGCAATACTATATACAATTGAACAGTTTAATTCCGAGACTACAGCTCGGAGTTGCTCTCCTGTATAAGGTTGCAAGGTTGAGCATTCTTGCCCGCGTTTTTTGAAGTGGCAAAGAGAACTGCTTAAAGCAGCAGCCTGTCTGGACCCCTGCCAGGCCCGTCCCAATTGACCATGCGGCTGCCTCCACTCGCATGCCCTGCACGCTGTCGCCCCTTCGGAACTCGCCCTTCAGCTCGGCCGGAACCTCGAAACTTGGCGGAGCAGTGACGGAGCAAGAGAAGTGGTCTGCAGTCTGCAGGGGAGTTTTGCAGGGCGAGCTCAGACATTCACTATGCCGATTCCTGCCGTATGTCGGTGGATGTCAAGCAAGACAATGCCTTACCGGTTCTAGGAGCCCAATCCACGTCGCTTGAACTGAACAACAATGCTTCGCCCCCCCTGACCCGACGATCAGGCCCTAATGCCTGCTGTGAACATGCGGATAGGGCTCGCATGGACTTACACTATCCATGCGATGCTTCACAAAAACCACGTACTACGCACGCTTCTTGAACAACTATTGTGACATGCAAGCTGCGTACTTTTCAAGTATATTACGACCTGAAAGGCCCGCATCCCCACTGAGCCTCGAGGAGGCCCTTCTTTCCGCCACCAATGTTCACCTGAGAAGCAGGCACACTCACTATAGAAAAAGGATTTAGGAAAAGCCATGTCTGTGACTTTCGCTTATTTATGATGTTGCTTCCTGCAAGCCCCGGAATATCGGAGCAGCCTCTAACTTTGAAGTTTGGCAGCTGGGGCTTTCTGGGTGTAGGCTGCGGACCTTAGATTCGGGTCCTTGTAGCTGTCTAGCGTGGGATATTAGCTCTGTATAGCTTGTTATATTGTTTGTGCTGCGGGAAGAGTATGTTAGGTAGCTTGTGGTCGGTTCTGCACGTGAGCATGCATGCTCCTGCATCGTGAGATGCCTATGCAACGAAGCAGTCACATTCCTTGGCCCCAAACGCGACCAACCAACACCGGAAACGAGACCTACACTGGCCGCGCAAAGCAGCTTTGCGAAGTCGTGTGCAGGTGGAAAAACAGGTGCCGAGTGTCCGGGGAATCCTGCAAAACACAGTGGCGCAAGGAACTTGAAGGTACTCCGGTATTGCATGTCCGTGTCTGAGCGTAATGCAAAGATCTATACTTTGCCTGACGAAGCTGACATGTACTTTGCTCCTCCGGGCTGCACAACTCTCAGCTCTCCAATCCTACAGCCCACCGAACTCAAAGCTCGAAGCCGCAGAAACGAAAACGCCGAAAACCTATAGAGATCCGTTCCGAACTCCCCCTAGACCTAGAACTCTAAGGGCCCAGGCCACCGAACTCCAACCGGAAACTCCAAAGCCCTAAGGCCCCTAGAACCCAAAAGCCGCAAAGCCCGAAAGCCCCAATTTAAGGGCCCCAGAGGATCCAAAAGCCGCAACCCAAATAAAGCCCTGAACCTCTTGAAGCCTAAACCCACATTGTCCCATGACGCCCTGAAGCCCTATAATACACTGCAGCAGAAGGAGCCCAAACACCCTTGTTGTTGATCGTCGTGACGACCCCGTCCACCAGGTCGCCGGGCTCAAGCTGCATCTCCTTTAGGGTTTAGGGTTTAGGGTTTAGGTTTTAGCCTCTCATTCAAACTTCAGGGTTCAGAAAGGGGGGAACTAGAGGAGGGTTTAGGGTTTCGTGTTTCGGGTGTGTTTTTTTGCACTGTTAGCTGTTCAGGGATGTCTTGGCTTTCTGTGAAGGGTCGAGCGGGGTTCGGGTCTAGGATTTAATTCTACAATGTTCCGGTTTCTTCAGTGCGTTATGCGTGTCTCTGATGGTTGATAGGGGCCTGGCGGGCTTCACGAGTCTTTGCTGCTTCAGGGTCTGGACTCTTCTTCGGATGGCTAAACAATTACGCAACATACTTCCACGGATGGCAGCATGTAACTACGGGGGGTCAAGTTTTTACATAACAAAAGGAAATACAGAAATCCGTCTATAAGCGGCTGTAGGCAAAATTAAAACGCACATGCACATGCAGAGAACACATATATATATATATATATATATGTATGTATACACAAGCGCTTCAAAGAAGCTATTTGGGGAGTATAGTCTGACAATATAGGCAGTTTTAATATAATAGTATACTTATGCTGTTTTGCTAGTTGTGCTAGTACATACTGCATGGTACTATACTATAGTACAGCATGGCGCAGTGTCTCCGAATCTTACGCGCCATGCCGGTCGGATCGCGCCTCTGGCTCCTCTTCCTTTTCTTCCTTTGCTTCCTTTGCTTCCTTTGGCTCCGGCTCAGCCACTTCTTCCTCGGGTGTTTGAACATGTGCCTCTCGCAACAAAGAGCGGAATAAACCCGAAATGCGGCATGACGCTTGTTCAGCATCCTTCACCTTTGGGAGGAGTGGCCCCAATCGCCGGTTTACACTACAGAATACACAAATGTACGCTGGCATCGTGTATACCAGGTTTATCCAGGCTGCAACTTTGGGTTGCGACTTCGCCTTCGGTACCCTGGCAGGCTCCTGCGACAGAGACGGGACACAACTTACATGAACCATGCAAGAACCATCTGCGAGGCGGGCGAGATCTTCACAATGGACAGAAAGACTAAGCCCAAGTAGCCTTTCATACAAGAAGAGGTCACATGCAGTAATAAAACGAAAATGACAGCATGTAGCTCTCACTCTGTCTACTACTGTGGCGACGGCCACGAACTACACCAAACAACGCAGCAGCAACAACAACAACCAGAAGAGAACGAGTGTCTCGAAAGCACCATACATCCATGCATCCTTTCCTCCGCCCCTCCATCCATCCATTCATCCATCGCACCCCACCCCTTCTATCAACCCTCCTATAAGCTGCTCGATAAAAAACCGTTCGTGGGCTGCCACGTTGTGTTGCATTTCTTCGGTGTTTTTTCCCGGTTCAGCGGTTTGGCTTGGGAGGCTGGGGCGGGGATAAAATAGTAACGTTCTTGCTGACTGCCTCCCTAAAGCCGACCTACACCTTGTAAAGCCTCAACCCTTAAGCCTAAACCCGGACGGCAGTGCAATCCGAAAACCTAAACCCTGTCCCTAATTCTATAGCCTAGGCCTATGCCTCAAGCAAGTGACCAATTGTTAGAACTGCACGCAATCTGAGGAAAGGAAGTAGAACACAGGAGTAAGTCACATGGTCAGTCTGTGGTGTCATCAAAATTCACAACAACATAACTGTTGTCGTATACGTTATGGCAGAACACATCATAGCTAGTGTAGACTACAGTACACTATAGTATACTATAGTATGCCTACGTTTGCAATCGCTGCATGGCTCGGCGTTGGAAGCTCCAGTCCCTCTGCCGCCTGAGCCCCACAGGTGGAAAGCAACAAAAGACCAACATCCTTCAACATCTTGCTTACTGCTGTTAAGGCAGGGGCCTTAATAATTAGAATAGGGTCTTGGGGACCATCATACTTTACTTATAATAAGGAACCCCCACAATAGTATGGGCATTGGTAATTACTTAGGCCCCTACACTACACCGAAATCCTTAAATCAACCGCAGCTCCGAAAATCCTATCACCCAACTCTGATCTCGGAGCCTTCAACTCTGGCCGGTCCTTAGCCTTGGGCTTGGGCCTTGGCTTGTGGGAGGTAGGGACAGGGATGCTTAGCACGCTGACACGGTTTGTAAGTCAGAGCTGGAGTAACTGCCATAGTGACGCCTTTTGCAACGTCTTCTGTAGTAGGTTTCCAATGTCTTGCGTGCTTGAAGCCTTATTAGAAGATCCCGGGACGGAGGTGAAGCGCTCACGGCTTGGGCTCTTCGATGTGCTCTCGAAAGAGTCCTCTATGACTTGCCCAAAGCGCAGCAGTTGATGTTTTAGGGGAGCTATACTCAGTGAACTCTCATGGGTCTTGGCCTGGTTAGTTCATGAGGGTTCGAGTCGTGAAGCCCCAGCACCCAGGTTTTGGGATTCCGAACTCTCCAGGCTACTGGCTTCGTGCTTCATGACTCCCAATGTCTGTTGTTATTGACTACAGGTGGAAGGAGCATTAAGACCCTTTCATTGAGGCACATGAGCGTTCCATGCCAGTTGTCCGCCTCTCTAAACTCCTACAAAATTGGTCCCTTAGGTTTGAAAGGGTGCCGTGAATTTGAACAAGTTGCGGTTGGCTCCACAACCACTCAAACTTCCCAAAACTAGTTGCACAACCCCAGCATAACCCCAACCCTAAAGCAACCAAAGCCTTTCCTAACAAAGTGCGACAGCGGCCCAAAACTCGCAACCGCTCGAATTCCCGTTATAGATTTAAGGTGGTCCAATGAGGGATCCTTAGAATAAGAATCCTGAACTCCCATAAGATTTTTCAGCGTGACACCTGTTCACCAAAAACCCAAATACTGGCTAGAGGAGACGAGCGACTCCCGATCAGCCTTCTTCTGCTTCGGAGCCTTGCTTGACACATAATGGTCATGGTGGTGGTGGTGGTGCTGCTGCTGCTGATGATGACGAGGATGATGACGATGATGATGATGATGATGGTGATGGTGGCAAACATGCTGTTACACAGGCGTACGTGCATCTCGATTCATTATGTTGAAGCATGCAGAACTGTTGGTGTATGTGTACCCACACGTATAGGTTTTTTGTGTATACATGCATGCATGCCTACTACAGACAGACATACCTTGAATACACACAGACATACATACACACCTAGCTACCAAGCGACCTAGCTGGCTAGCTAGCTATGGCCACCTACATACATGCCTACTTCGAGGTACGTACAACCACTGAGTAGCAACACGGCGCAGTTTCCCAAAGCAACGCTCGAATGCCTTGGGAGTAGTAGGTAAGAGCTCTCAGGGTTTGGGATGCCGACGTCTCTGAGGCATTGCTTGGTTTACGCCTTCCGCTTAAGTTCAAACAGCTCCGACTGTTTACATAGGGTTGGTGCAAGAGCTTCCCAGGTCTTCGAACTTCTCCAGCACAACGTTGTTGTCTTTTGAAGGCGGATTGCTTCAACTTTGACTACGCTTGCTATCGCTCTGCACTGCTGGCCTTTCAATCTTAAGAGGCCAAGCCGTCCGTCTAATGTGCGCCTGCCCTCTTGATCGAGTGCTCCTGTTTCCGGAGACTCAAGGCTAGAATCAATGCCTTAGAAAAAGATTTTAAACTGGACATGACGGGTATGTTTAAATACGTATCCAACCGCATTTTTTACCAGCATGCAGAGATTGCATCTTGCGTTGGATCTAACCCCGCCTGCCGCGCACACACACACACACACACAAAATAACAGTTTGTATTTTGTATGCACGCACTGCCTGGCTAACTATGCGAGTGTATATATATATATATACATACACAAGCATCCGTCTGTCTGTCTGTGTGTCTGTCTGTTTGTCTGTCTGTCTGTCTACCTATTCATCTATCCATCTACCGATCTATCGATCTATCTACCTCTCTGTCTATGTGTCTACCTGTCTACACATCTATACATCTACACATGCATGTAGACCAATACATACACACACACACACAAACACACACATATAAATGTGTTTAAGCTGCCTTCGTCTGCGAGAGCCAGACAAAGCTTTCATGTCTCCTTTGCCCAGAGCCCCTCTCGTTCCTCCCTGAGCCCTACACCGCATGCACACGTTACTGAGCAGAATAGAGTTTTGGGGCATATGAATACCATGATAAATATCGTACATTTAGGAACGATAGGGGGTAATAATGTTAATTATTTATTCCGATCCCTACAGTAAGAAGCCTCAGCAGAGGAGCATCTGCTTTGGGGTCCTTCGTGTCCCTGTCGGCATCTGCCATCAGCGTTGCCAGGGAGACCATCTCGGGATCCTAGGAGGCTTAAGATCTAGAGGGTCACGTTGTACGGCGCAGGGATGAGGTTTGGGGTTTTGAGTCTCGAGTTTGGGTCCTGCGCTTTCAACTTCGAAGCGCCACCCTCGCTGCCGACACCAAAGCTAAGAGCAGTCTCTTGATCTACGAGCATGATGCTGGGCGGCTCAGAAGCATGCATGCTGCTCCGTTCTCATGATCACCTCCTTCCACTTGTAGCAGTTTATGCGCATGTTCGTTTACACTTACCGGGCGTAGTCGCCCATGCGATCGATACAAGAGAGCGGTTTCCAAGAGTTGCAACGGCTCAAACGGCCTCAGCCATAATTTGCTTAGGCTCTGGTCCACTGTAAAAACCTGCGAGGGTTGATGGAGGGCTGTTGGAACTTGGAACCTGGCGCCGCACCCTAGCAGCAGGAACATGCTTCTGCTACTGCTACGACTATTGACCCATTTTAACTAGCCAGCGAACTAACTCGCGAACAAGCAAGACAAACAATCAACCAACCTAAACTAGATAAGAGGGCTAACAGTACTACAGGGCTTGGCCTGGCCTTGCCAAGCTTTTCGTTTCTGGGGACCACATCACTGCCACCCTTGACATGTCGTCTTCTGTTGCTCAGCTATGGCTTTCAAGGTGCAGGTTTTGAAGTTCATGTCTCAACACGTCCATTCAGTGAAGCTGGAACCGTGCAGCGACACGTCCGCAGGTCCTAGCGAAGAGAGCTGGGGCCCGGTCTGCAATGGCACCGTCGACATCGTCCATGATCAAACGAACACGTCGATTTTCCAGGTCAACCGTCGCCACGCAAAGGTCGCGTAGAACCTGCGCTCGGCAAACATCTCATCAGGGTCCGAAGCAGGGAAAGCAAAGAATCTAACTTGTTGGGTTTGTCATCAGTCATCGGAAACTAGCTGAACTGCGGAGACCCCCTGTTTGCCTGTGCATGTGCGCGTGTGCGTGTGCGTGCATGTGCATGTGCATACAATCTTGCCGCAGTGCCACAGCGACCACACTGCGCAGGCCTGTCCGCGGATAAGCTGGTTGCCCATGAAGCGTGGAAGCTGGAGTTTTCCGTGGCAGGCTTCACAGCCCACATTGATGAAAATGCCAAACCTTGCAAATCAAGAGGGTCTCGCACAAGATCAAACCTATTGAACACTTGCTGCCACGGAACCACTACTAAACCCATTCACAGTGAAAAGAACTAATTCAGGCAAGTCTGACAGTGCAGCTCATGGACTGGTTTTTGGTGTCCACTACACCGTTCAAGTAGCTGCCCTCCTGCAGCTCCTGCAGTGTCAGAAACTGCCGCGAGTATTCGAGCATTCTCTGGAGCTTGCAGGCTGCCTGTCACAATGTTGCCATCATCCTGTACAATTGGCGCACAAAGACTCATACTCGCGGACTCCGATCCTCCAGCGGAATTCTACTCGGCTTCAGTGCCTCTTCGACGTCCTGCAGTGCGAGCGACGAAAACAAGCTACAAGCTGCCGTGACTGCTAGCCTTCACAATATGCATCTCTCACAAGCGACACTTCCCTATCTGCTGTTGTCACCGTCCACCCCCGGTCCGCCACTGTCACAGTGGCGCGGCGGAGTTCAAGATCCACAGAGACGACCTCCATGGCCTGTCGCAACAGGTTCCGACATCTAGTTCTAGTTCATGCTCGACCATATTCTGAAAGGCCATGGCTTCCGGAGACGATTCTGTCACTCTGCATGCTGACCATGAGTTGCGAGCCATAAGCCTGCTGTTGTGGTACACAGTTTTACGACGAGAGAGCCCGCAACAAATGCGTCAACTGCGGCGGTCCTCCAGCACATCGCCACGTCGAAATCGGCGCCAAAACCTGCATCCAAGGCTACTGTACGGCGCGGTGAAGAGCGAACAAGCTCTTCAACCACGAAACACAAGTTCTCCGAGACCGATGCCTATGCACGTTACCCCCAGCTAATCATTTCTTTGCAACGACCACATGGGTGACAAACAGTGCGGCAACAGCAGCATCGCCAAAGGGTCTAGCCTACGAGGAATGGCCAGGATGGCATTCTGCTCGTAGCCGATGTCAGCAAAGACACCATAATCACCGACATTCACAACAACGCCTGGGCTGGGAAAGTCTTCTCTCATCAGGTGTGTGTTGCAACCCGTTACAGCTGTGGATCGGACTCAACCGAACCATCACTGTAACCTTCAGTGTGCACAAGATATGCAGGTCTGGGCACCGTCGACTCGAGACTCTGCTTCAAGTTCTTCGAACTTCTTCCCTGGCCGCCACAGAGCAACACAAATGTGCACCCAATAAAATTTGAGGGAAGCACATGGCTATCGGGAGAAGTGCACCTCTATCCCCTTGCAGGTCGCAGGGTCTATCGGTCCCACGCTGTATATGCAATCCTGCGCCGGTAACCCAAATTGAGCCTGCAACAAGCGGATGCAACGTCCTGGCATCTCAGTGGAGTAACTGGCAGATGAAACCCTAAGCCTGTAAATCATAACACTTAACTATATTGAACTTAATCATTGAAGGGGTCAAGAAATAACACTGCCGAGCAAAACCACAAACCCCAAAGCAATACCCCCAACCCGGAACATTCTAAGGCCCAAGCCCTATAAATGAATCTATCTATCTGTCTATCTATCTATCTATCTATCGATCTATCTTTCTATCTATCTGTACATATATAACTATATATGTATAAGAATATAAATATATATATATATATATACATATAGATATAAATATACAAAATATGTATAAAACCTAAAGACGCTTCAGAGTCCACTGCTCGAGCCTTCCGGATGTCCCCAATTCGCCCGAGGTCTCTCTGTCCGAGGGGGCCTGCAGGCAACATGTATATGTACATACATACATACATACATACATACATACATACATACATCCATGCATGCATACATACATACATACATACAGATATGTGTATATATATATATATGTCTATGTATATGTATATATTATATGTATGTACATATACATATGTATATATATATATATAGATAGTATGCTATACCGCAGTATATCATGTAATTGTATAGTATCGTGTAGCCTAGTTCATTATGTTATAGAACCTTCTGGTACATGAGGGGCCTTGACACGAGGGGTGCCCTACTTAGGGATAGTTAGGGCTTTGGCATGCTACTTGGGGTCTATGTTAGGGTCCCTTTGTTCGCCGAGCAGTGTGAGTATAAAGTCTTGTAAGGGTCTGAGACAGTGGTAAGAACGTCGTTGAAGTCTTGCACCTGCACACAAACCTGACACAGGCAGTACAACAGTATGCTGGTACTTTGTTGCGGGAATGGTGTGTGTCAATTACGATGGTATACATAGGCGATGCAGCCGCAAGGTGGAAGTAGTTGCACGAGAAAAATAGCTCTGTGGCAACCCGGGCGGTGCTACAAGGTCTGAGCGAGGCAACAACTGTAACAGCTTGCTGCAGTGTCTGTTTCAGGGGTTTGCGTGTCTCGGGTTTACGCTTTGCAGGAATATTCTGTAGAGGCTCTATAACAGACCGCAGCCGTCGGCAATGCGCCCGTGGGCATGTGCGGGAGTGAACTGCTTCAGACAGCATCGTTGCCGCACACTGGCTTGAGGCTGATCGTGAGGTTCAAGCACACCGGAGGCCTTATGCAATGCCATGGCTTTACAGGGTATAGCGCGCTCTTTGCATCCATAAAGCATAAGCCCCTCCTATCTTCAGACCAGTATCAATGATCCTGGAACGCAACCCTTACCCTGATGTGGTCCTCCAGCCTCTAATCCCGCATTAAGCCTTAGCCCGAATCCTTGGCTCCACGCAAATCCTAAAGTCCTCGATCAACGAACCCTGAACCGGAAACCCATCTCCATGATATCAACAAAACGTAGCACCGTTCAAACTCCGCCTGACAGCCTGAAGCCACTTCCGCATACAAACCCAAAATCCTGATGAACCTCGACAGGCCCTACCAAAGAATTCCACAAAAAAAGCCTTACAAAAGACCCTGTAACCATCCAGACCTTAAATCCCAAACCCAAACCCAAAACACCGAGGGACCTTCTGGCTCCGCGAGAAGCGGTGGAGGATGCCCGGCGAGGTCGGCGCTTCGGCCCCGCCGGTTCCTTGAGCTTAGGCTCTTTGGGAGGAGGTTTAACAAATTGCTCAAAGGGTGACAAAAGCTTATTTTCACTTTTTACCCTGTAGGCTCTTTGAGAAAGGGATAATTCTTCAGGACTCTGCGAAGTCTTGATAGGGAGGTATGGGGCTGTAGAGAGTTCCAAGGTTAACGGCCTAAGTCAAGGATTCACGGCCTAAGGGAATGACAATATTGATACTCATAACAATAATGATGATGACAATAGCGATACTCATTGGAATAATAAAGGTATACTAAAAGTATTGATACAAATAATAATGATACTAATAATGACGATACTAATAATAGTCTCAGGTTGCAGGCTTCAGGGCTCTGTCAGGTTTCGGATATCCTGGCTTGGAGGCTTCGGCTTCTGGCACCTGGCTGCCAGTTCCGCTGAGCTTCGTAATATAGGAGCCTTAATAATTCGAATAGAGGTTTGGGAGTATAGTAGGCTATAATCATAATAAGCAACCCCCAAAACCCTAGTCTAATTCTTAAGGCCCCTACACTAACTTGCCTTCATGTGACTTTTCATGCATGCAGAGGCGGCTGAAATCAGTAGGGCATACACAGGCAACACAGGCAAATTAACAATCGCAGAAACATCCCCTACAGTATACATATACATATATATGTATATATATATATATATGTATGTATGCAGGCATGTGGTTACAGGACAATGTTGGTGCTTACCTATATGTACATCCGTGTATGTGCACGTAGATTTGTGTATATGTATGTGCCTATGTATACATACATACCGAAGTTGTACGTAACGTTTGCACGGATGCGTGGGTGCTGACGTCCGTATGTCTTTAGGCTCGATATCCAGGGCCTGTAGATGTACACAGAGTCAAGCAGAAACCCGCCATGGGCACGGCCGAGCACGCGCAAGACTGGTCATCCGTATTTGCATATACAAACACTGACACTCGAGTCATACAAGATGTACGGTGGAGAACAATACACCATCATACCCTGCTGACAGCAAATTAATACCACAAAACATGGTCGTCAAGCAAAAACAGAACAGAATGCAAATAGCATGATACATCCTGTGTACTAATATCGCGTCATAAAACCTGATACTGGGAGTATGAATTTTCGTAAGAGAAAAGCCTTAACCCCTAAACCCTAAA